ACCTCAAAGTGCACAAGCTTCAGACTTCAGCGTTGGCTGCGATTTTGAAGCTGAAATCGCGTTCGGTGTGAACGCACCATTAGACCCTCGGAGTGTAACAATGTTTCAAACATTTTTTAATCAAACTAGATTCAGCAAAGTAGTAGTAGATATGACCCCCACACCTACACAAAACATCAATCCACCAGAACTCAGAACTCACCAGAACATATTTATTGTTTTGGGTGGGGGTCTGGAGGGGGTGGGGCTCATTGTTGGGCCCAATGGATAGCCCTTCATCAGAGCTAAACAACAAACAAATCTGAAGTTCCTATATTGAGTAGTTTTTGAGTTATAAGCATTTTTATGTCCACACACACCCTTTTTAGACCGTGCTACAGTTGACCAAAAATCACTTTGCGTGCTGGGGTCATAATAAACCAACTTCATTTCATAAATGTACTCATGTTTCCCTAATACCCACTTTCATTCATGTGACCAAAACATCTCTCTTTTGAGTCAGGCAAACAAAGATCCTACGATGCTCCGCTGTGAGAGGTGTGTAATTTAATCTACATGTTGATCTAGATTACATCATCAAGTTTCTCTGTTTAGAATTTAGAGCGCTCCCCAGATGGGAAGTGAAACATCTTTAACTAAGCAGTGGTTCCCAAACTATTTCTGCCAGGCTCCACTTGGATTTATAAGAAAATATTCATGCAGTCACCTACTTTTTATTTTAGATTTTTATTCAGTTAGTCTTATTGTGAAGAAATTTGATTTCCTTTTGACATTGAAGGGTTTTTTGGTCAAAAATGACAGTTTATATTGACCATGATTCATTTATGAGAGCAATAAAAGCACAAGATATCCAAGTGGGTGAATACTTTTCATAGACAGCATTTAAAACCTTAAAATGACTCACAAACTCCTGTCCCCTGTCATTAGCGAAGAACTCCTGTAGCTTTATGCTCCAGTCATGCCGTCGTTTGAGGACACCGTTCTGCAGGAGTGGCTGGCACATGTAGCATCGCCAAGGGTCCTGGTACCGAGCACTGTTAGAGGCTCCGGGGTCAATCAGGATGTCCAGACAGTCCACACAGAAACATCTGGAACAACAGGCAAAAAGAGATTCATATAAAAAGAAACATAATGGCAAAGGGGTTTCAACCTCGACATGTTTAGGTGTTTGGCTGAGATACGTGTAACACCATCAAAGATCATCCGTCCGTTTTCTTCCACTTATCCAGGGTCAGGTCGTGGGGGCAGCAGCCTAAGCAGAGAGACCCAGACTTCCCTCTCCCCAGCCACTTGGGCCAGCTCCTCTGGGGGAATCCCAAGGTGTTCCCAGGCCAGCTGAGAAACATAGTCCCTCCAGCGTGTCCTGGGTCTTCCTCTGGGCCTCCTCCCAGTGGGACATGCCCGKAACACCTCACCAGGGAGGCATCCTAACCAGATGCCCGAGCCACATCAACTGGCTCCTCTCGATTTGAAGGAGCAGCGGCTCCACTCTGAGTCCCTCCTGGATGACCGAGCTTCTCACCCTATCTCTAAGGGAGAGCCCAGACACCCTGCGAAGGAAACTCATTTCGGCCACTTGTATCCATGATCTTGTTCTTTCGGTCACTACCTGTGACCATAGATGAGGGTGGGAACGCAGACTGACCGGTAAACCGAGAGTTTTGCCATTTGGCTCAGCTCTAGCTTCACCACAACAGACTGGTACAGCGCCCGCATCACTGCAGACACAGCACCAATCCACCTGTCAATCTCCCGCTACATTCTTCCCTCATTCGTGAACAAGACCCCGAGAAACTTAAACTCCTCCAAATGGGGCAGGACCTCCTCCCCGTCCTGCAAAAGACACCCTACCGGTTTCCAGCTGAAGACCATGGTCTCAGATTTGGAGGCACTGATCCTCATCCTGGCTGCTTCACACTCGGCTGCAAACCACTCAAGTGAGAGCTAGAGATCAGGATCTGAATTCAATTCAATTCAATTCAAAAATACTTTATTGATCTCAGAGGGAAATTAAGTGTTGTTGTAACTCATTTAACTAAAGAATTATTGTAGATACTGATGGCTGTGGGCAGGAAAGATCTTCTGTAGTGGACTGTATTACAGCGAAATAAAAAAAAAATCAGAAGTCAAAGCGAAAAATCAAAGCGAAAGAAGCCAATAGGACCACATCATCCAAAAAGCAGAGATGTGATCCTAAGGTCACCAAAACAGATCCCCTCAACACCTTGGCTGCACCTAGAAATTTTGTCCATAAAAGTTATGAACAGAATCGGTGACAAAGGGCAACCTTTAGCGGAGTCCAACTCTCACCGGAAACAAGTCCAACTTACTACAATGTGGACCAAGCTCTGGCACGGTTATACAGGGACCTAACAGCTTGTATCAATGGGCCTGGTACCCCATACTCCCAGAATACCCCCCACAGGAGTCCCAGAGGAACATGGTCGAACACCTTCTCCAAGTCCACAAAACACATGTAGACTGGTTGAACTCCCATGCACCCTCCAGGACCCTGCTGAGGGTGTAGAGCTGGTCCAGTGCTCCATGACCAGGACCAAAACCACACCACTCTTCCTGAATCTGAGATTCGACTATCCGACAGACCCTCCTCCCCAGGACCCCTGCATAGACCTTACCAGGGAGGCTTAGAAATGTGATCCCCCTACAGTTGGAACACACTCTGCAGTTCCCACTTTTTAAATAGGAAGACCACCACCTTGGTCTGCCAATCAAGGGGAACTGACCCCGATGTCCACGCAACATTCTCACCAGAGAGGTGACATTCCATGTACCTAGAACCTGCTTCTGTAGCCAAGGATAGAACCACCAGGGTCCTCGCCTTCGACCACTGCACATCACACATCGCACCTGACGCCTTTGGCCCCTCGCGAGCCCATGGGAATGGGGACCCATGTCTCCTCTTCAGGCTGTGCCTGGCCAGGCTCCATGGGTAAAAGCCTGGCCACCAGGCGTTGGCCAACGTGCCCCAGGCCTGGCTCCAGAGTGGGGTTAGTCCAGGAGAGGGAACACTCAATTCAATGTTGGCACTCATCATTAGGGGTCTTCGGGCTGCACTTTGTCTCATCTCTCACCTAGGACCTATTTGCCTTGGGTGACCCTACCGGGGGCATGAAGTCCTTGACAACATAGCTCCTAGGATCATTGGGACACTCAAACCTCTCCACCATGATAAGGTGGCAGCCCAGTGAGATCAAAGATCATATCTCTACCTAATTACTACCATTACAAGTGTAGGTAGATTTCCTTTTAATATTTTCTGTCTCCTATTTAAAGTTTGTGTTTTTTCTTTAGTGTGAATATAATTCTCAGTTTTGTTCTAAAGTAGCTTCTGTAACATGCAAGTTTCTTCTCCGGAGATGACTAAAGTCTTGAATGTTTTAATGTTTGTGTCAGACCTGCAGCAGTTGGCATTGCCACACAGCAGAAGTTCTCGCCCTCCACAGCAGACGGTGCAGTAGGACTGGTAACCATCATCATCGTACATGTAAGATATCTCCAGGTACACGTCCTAAACACAACAGAGATATGTCAGTTTTCATATCAAATGCAGGGTGGAACACATTCTCACTCCCGACTCGTCACATATCGACGCTTGTCCAGGTTCCCTCTGCGTCAGGTTTTGATACGTTGGCTAACCCCCTTGTTTCAGTTATTGACGCATGGGGCTTTTCTGGGTCTGCGTCACATAGGGTCTTTGGGTTGGGATCCGTGGTTAATATTAGGGATCAGGATTACTGGTTAATTTTAGGTTGGGAGGTCAGGGATAGAATGTCTAGGGCACAGGTGTTGAACTTCGGTCCTTGAGGGCCGCTGCCCTGCATGTTTTCTTGTTTTCCTGCTCAATCACACCTGATTTGCATGAATGGATGATTAACAGGCTACTACATAATTTAAGGAGTTAATTGAAGCCCTGAATCAGGTGTGTTGAAGCAAAGAAACAAGGAAAACATGCAGGATTGCGGTCCTCGAGGACCTGAGTTTGACACCCCTGGTCTAGTAGCTAAGAGAAGGTAAATTTAGAGTTTGGGATGGTTAGTTGTCGTGCATTTTCTAAATTTTTCAAAAATATGACAACAGGCTCCTCCTTGTTCTCATCTCATCAATAACTGACACGAGGGGGTTACCCGACATGTCAAAACCTGACGCAGAGGGAACCTGGACAAGCTTTAATATGTGACAAGTTGGGAGTGAGAATGGGTTGCAGGGTGACATGTTTGCATCCATTTTTCTATAATTTGAAATTAAACCTAGGGAAAGTTCTTTTTAAGAAATTCAAAATTTGCCAAAATTCCTAAAATCGATTAATTGTTTTTAGGAATTTTAATTTGGCTCCCAGTCAAATTCAGAATATAATTTAAAATCTTACTTCTAACATATGAAGCTCTTAACAACCAAGCTCCATCTTTTATCAAAGATCTTATTGTTCCATACTTTCCTAACGGAGCACTTCGCTCTCAGATTGCAGGTTTAYTTGTGGTTCCTGGAATTTCTAAAAGTAGAATGGGAGGCAGAGCTTTCAGTTATCAAGCTCCTCTCTTGTGGAACCAACTTCCAGTTTCCGTCCGTGAGACTGACACTCTGTCTACTTTTAAGATTAGACTGAAGACTTTCCTTTTTGATAAATCCTATAAATAGACTTAGGTTTCCTGAGTTATTCCATAGGTATTATAGTTAATTAGTTATGCTGCTATAGGCTTAGACTACTGGAGGACAAACTTACCACATTTCCTCACTCTGCTATTGTCTTTAGTCTCTCTTCTCTACGTGTTTATTGTAATTATTTCTATCAATAACGTGTTTTCTTTGTCTCTCTTCCAGAGGAAAATACACCTGGACCAGTTCTTCTGTGTTTGGCTGTGTCTCTTTCCTGTCCCCAAACCCAGCCGGTCGAGGCAGATGGCCGCCTGTCCTAAGCCTGGTTCTGCTAGAGGTTTTTTCCTGTTAAGGGCAAGTTTTTCCTCTCCACTGCTGCCGGTGTGCTGCTCAGGATGGGAAACTGTGATGAAGTGAAAATTCAACACAATCTGCTGCTTCTTTAGATTGATTGTTCTTTTTTTCATGTACAGTGCTCTGAGATGATGTCTGTTTTGACTTGGCGCTATATAAATAAACTGAACTGAATTAACTGTAACTTTTACATTATATGAAGTAAACTTGAACTACAATTTTCGTCCGTCTGTCCGTTTTCTTCCACTTATCCGGGTTTGGGTCACGGGGCCAGCAGCCTAACCAAAGAGACCCAGACTTCCCTCTCCCCAGCCACTTGGGCCAGCACATCTGGGGGAATCCCAAGGTGTTCCCAGGCCAGCCAAGAAACATAGTCCCTCCAGCGTGTCCTGGGTCTTCCTCTGGGCCTCATCCCAGTGGGACATGCCCGGAACACCTCACCAGGGAGGTGTCCAGGAGGCATCCTAACCAGATGAACCACCTCAACTGGCTCCTCTTGATGTGGAAGAGGAGCAGCTCTACTCTGAGTCCCTCCTGGATTACTGAGCTTCTTATCCTATCTCTAAGGGAGAGCCCAGCCATCCTGCAAAGGAAACTCGTTTTGGCCACTTGTATCGGTGATCTCATTCTTTCGGTCACTACCCAAAACTCGTGACCACAGACGAGGGTAGGAACATAGACCAACTGGTAAATCAAGAGCTTCGCCTTCTGGCTCAGCTCTCGATTCACCACGACAGACCGGTAAAGTGCTCGCATCACTGCAGATGCAGCACCAATCCACCTGTCGATCTTACGCTCCATTCTTCCCTCATTCGTGAGCAAGACCCCAAGATATGTAAACTCCTCCATTTGGGGCAGGACCTCTTCCCTGACCCAGAGAAGGCACCCTACAGTTTTCCAGCTCAAGACCATGGCCTCAAATTTGGAGGCACTGATCCTCATCCCGGCCGCTTCAAACTCGGCTGTGAACCACTCCAGTGAGAGCTGGAGATCACAATATGATGAAGCAATAGGACCACATCATCCACAAAAAGCAGAGATGTGATCCTAAGGTCACCAAAATGGATCCCCTCAACAACTTGGCTGTGCCTAGAAATTTTGTCCATAAAGGATATGAACAGAATCGGTGACAAAGGGCAATCTTGGCGGAGTCCAACTCTCACCGGAAACGAGTCCAACTTACTACTGGCAATGTGGACCAAGCTCTGGCACCAGTCGTACAGGGACCTAACAGCCCGTTTCAATGGGCCTGGTGCCCCATAATCCCGGAGTACCCTCAACAGGATTCCCAGAGGGACACGGTCGAACGCCTACTCCACGTCCACAAAACACATGTAGACTGGTTGGGCGAACTCCCATGCACCCTCCAGGACCTTGCTGAGGGTGTAGAGCTRGTCTGCTGTTCCACGACCACGACAAAAACCCCAATGTCCTTCCTGAATCTGAGATTCGACTATCCAAAGTATCCTCTTCTCCAGGATCCCAGAATAGACCTTACCAGGGAGGCTCAGAAGTGTGATCCCCCTATAGTTGGAACACACTCTGCGGTCCCCCTTTTTAAATAGGGGGACCACCACCCCGGTCTGCCAATCCAGAGGAACTGCCCCTGATGTCCACCCGATATTGTAGAGTCGCGTCAACCAATACAACCCCACAACATCCAGAGCCTTAAGGAACTCAGGGCGAATCTCATCCACCTCCGGCGGCTTGCACCGAGGAGCTTTTTAACCACCTCAGTGACCTCGGCACCAGAGATTGGAGAGTCTGACCCAAGATCCTCAGGCTCTGCTTCCTCAAGGGAAGACGTGTCAGTAGGATTGAGGAGGTATTCGAAGTATTCCGCCCACCGACCTACAACGTCCCGAGTTGAGGCCAGCAGCGCACCATCCCCACCATAAATAGCGTTGGTGGCGAACCGCTCCCTCCTCTCCCGAGATGCCAGATGGTGGACCAGAATTGCCTCGAAACCATATGGAAGTTTTTTCCCGTGGCCTCTCCGAACTCCTCCCATGCCCGAGTTTTGCCTCAGCGACCACCTGAGCCGCAATCCGCTTGGACTGCCGATACCTTTCAGCTGCTTCCAGAGTCCCACTGGCCAAAAAGACCTGATAGGACTCCTCCTTCAACCTGACAGCATCTCTCACCGCCGATGTCCACTTAGCATGTTCTAGGGTTGCCGCCACGACAAGCACTGACAAACTTACAGCCACAGCTCAGGTAAGCCACCTCGACAATGGAGGCACGGAACATGGCCCACTCGGACTCAATGTCCCCACCTCCCCCGGAACGTGTTCAAAGTTCTCCCAGAGGTGTGAGCTGAAGCTCTGTCTGACGGGAGACTCTGACATACATTCCCAACAGACCCTCACTATACATTTGGGTCTGCCAGGTCTGACCGGCATCCTCACCCACCAACGGAGCCAACTCACCACCAGGTAGTGGTCAGTTGACAGCTCCGCCCCTCTCTTCACCCAAGTGTCCAAAACATGCGGCTGCAGATCAGATGAAAGGAAAACAAAGTCGATCATCAAAGTGTAGCCTAGGGTGTCGTGGTGCCAAGAGCACATATGGACACCCTTATGTTTGAACATGGAGTTCGTTTTGGACAATCCATGATGAGTACAGAAGTCCAACAACAATGCACTGCTGGGGTTCAGATTGGGGGGGCTGTTCCTCCCAGCCACRCATCTCCAGGTCTCACTGTCATTACACACATGAGCGTTGAAGTCCCCCAGCAGAACGAGGGAGTCCCCGTTAGGAGAACTCTCCAGCACCCCCTCCAAGGACTCCAAAAAGGGTGGGTAATCTGAATAGCCATTAGGCATGTAAGGGCCACCCCGATCCCTACAGGTGCATAGGCACAAACAACAGTCAGGACCTGTCCCCCACACGTATGCAGAGGGAAGCTACCCTCTCATTCACTGGGGTGAACCCCAACGTACAGGCACTGAGATAAGTATGCCCACTCCTGCTCAGCACCTCTCAGCATGGGCAAATCCAGAGTGGAAGAGTGTCGTCCAACCCCTCTTGAGGAGACTGGTTCCAGAGCCAGAGCGGTGCATCGAGGTGGGTCCAACTATATCTAGTCAGAACCTCTCAACCTCACACACCAGCTCAGGCTCCTTCCCCACCAGAAAGGTGACATTCCACATCCCTGGAGTACTTCTGTAGCTGAGGATCGGACCGTCAAGGTCCTCGCCTTCGACCACTGCCCAGCACACATTGCAACCGACCCTAGGGCCCCTCCCACAGGTGGTAAGACCATGGGAAGGGGGACCCACGTCTCCTCTTCGGGCTGTGCCCGACGGGCTCCATGGGCGAAAGCCCGGCCACCAGGCACTCGCCACCGTGCCCCACCTCCAGGCCTGGCTCTAGAGTGGGGCCCCGGTGACCCGCGTCCGGGCGAGGGAACACTGAATCCATCCATCGTATTCATCATAGGGGTCGTTGAGGTGCACTTTGTCTGACCCTAGGACCTGTTTGCCTTGCGTGACCCTACTGGGGGCATGAAGCCCCCGACAACAAAGTTCCTACATCTTTGGGACACTCAAACTTCTTCAACACGATAAGGTGGCATCTTGTTCTATTGAAATGCATTGAAAACTCTTCAAATCCTTCCAAATGTGCTTTTCTGTATTTTTCCTCTTCATGTGTTCTTTTTGTTTTTGCTTATATTTTGTTTGTAGGCACCTTTGTAGGGGTCTGTGTTTCATGCTTATATTGTGTTTCTTTATGTGTGCTTATGCTTTTCCATGGTTACAGCATCGCCACCAGCTAAACATGATTTTACAGCAGCTCTTTCCCACCACAGTAAGACTGATGGCATAAAGTCAATAAATAAGCTGGTGGTGCAGCTGTTAAAGCTGCCGCCTCACAGAAAGATGGTTCAAGGTTCAYCTCCTGGTCTTTCTATGTGGAGTTCCTTGTGGGGTTTCTCTGGCTACCATACTCTTCCAACAGGACAAAGACATGATTGTTAGGTCAATTAGCATCTAGGTGTGAGTCAGAGTGTAAATGATTGTTTAATATGTCCCTGTGATGGACTTGCTTCCAGTCCAGAGTTTAATCCCCCCACTGTGACCGAAGACAGGCACCAGCTCCATGGGACCAGTTCCTCTTTATGTTCACTGTGCTCCTTGAGTCTCGTCGTCTTTTAGTACTTCAACATTTAATAGTTTACTATTCAATTTAGTTTAATCTGTTTTAGCAAATTTCAGAAAAATCAATTGGCACAAATAATTTACATTACAAGTTCACAAAAAGGTTTTTTTTCCGAATGTTTTCTTTTTGATTTTTAAATGCTGAATTTCAAAAGTATTTCTAAACATAAACATCCTGGTTCAGGTTCCTCCTTGCATGTTATTATTGTCACAGATGCTGTTTTGGTTTAGAGATCCTGACTCCCAGCATTAAGTTGTTTTACCTTGCATGTTTGGCACAAGCCTCCTTCAAACAGTGGGTGGAAAGTTGCCGCTCTCATTTTTCCACAAGAGAGACAGAAATCTGCAAAATGAAACACACACACGCACGCACGCACGCACGCACGCACGCACGCACGCACGCACACACACACACACACCACAACAAGCTCAAAAAACAAGATTAATTAAACTAATGCATAAGAGTCAGAGTCTTTACCTTCAATACTTTGTTTCTTTTGTAGAACTTCATTCACCATTTGTTCTGATAAAAGACAGTTAAAGACTGGAAATTAGCTGAATGTTGCCAACATGTCCATTCTCAGTTTTCTTTAAACACACCTGCAGCAAAACGTACATAACTGCACCTTTCTGTTGTTTAATCAAATAAATATGATGCAAAACATTTACATAAAGCATCGATACAGTTTCACATATGTAAAAAGAACTGCTAAAAACAACTATTCAACTCAAATATACACATTTACTTCCAGATACATAAATCAAAACAAAACTTTCTGTATTTTAAAGCTACAGTGGGTTGCAAAAGTATTCCCTTAATCCAATCAGAAAATTTGAGAATTTTATTTTGTTTATAAATTATAGGGAACAGGTGGTCCTGCTGGTTGTTGAGTGAGGATGAGGATGAGGTATTTTATCGTAATGAGGAAGATGAGATCAAAGTGAGTGAGAGAGAGTAAGAGTGAGGATGGAGATTCTGATGTATTTTGGACGCTGCTGTTTTCTGCACCTGCCATTATGTGGTTTATTTATTTAATTACCTATTCACTTTCAAGGCAACATTTTTATCTTTAACTTTTATCTTTCTTTGAAAAGAATAAAATGCTTKAGAGTTAAACGTTCTAGGGGGTTAAATAAATAATTTTCATTTAATAGTCAATYGTAGYACATTATAGTTTTGAAGAATCATCATTACGTTTGACTGAAGGGGTACTAGTGGTATGATAAAATGGCTCAGGGGTACACAAGTCTAAAAAGGTTGGGAACCACTGATTTACAGCATCAGCTAAAGTGCACAGAGTGATCAGCTGGTAATATCATTATCAGAAAGAATAAAATGATCACATCAGAAGTTTGTTGGGTGTTTTTATTACTCTATAAAATGACTGCATCCTAAAACACATTGTCTGAGTAGTTCTTTTTAGAATAGTTTCAGCATAAAACAGAGCTTGTTTCATGTCTGACAACTTTAATTTTAAYAATCAGATGATGAGACCAACTAGTCATCTGTTGTTTATTGATCTTATTTCATGATATTTTGTAACTCTTTAAAGCTGACTGACTTCAGCTGGCAATWACATAACCTGATGCCTTTCTGTCTTATGATGCAGGAGCTGATGAGAATCAGGGTCAGCAGGGAGGGACAGCATTCTGTGGCTCAGGTGAGTGATGAATAGAATAGAATAGAATAGAATAGAATAGAATAGAATCTCAGAGGGGAAATTCGGGTGTAACAGCAGCAGCACCATTTCACAAAAAAAAACAATATATTGCTATGCACCAATCAAAAACTAATATTAAATACTAATTAAAAATTAGTAATTTGCATCATTTTACATGTTAAAATAGAGCCATGTAAGCGGTGGTGTCTGATGATGAGTTCACTGGCATGAATGAAAAAAAGGTGCAGAAAAACATACGTCTGCAGAGTTTACACATTCTGAACATTTTGTGTGTACGCTCTTCTAATTTGGATAAAACTTTCAGTATGAAACCTGCGTACGCTTGGATACAGAAGTCCTCTTGACTTCTGATCTGTAGTTGAACTACAGTACTTGAACTACAGTAGTTGAACTACAATAGTTGAACTACAATAGTTAAAATACAGTAGTGGAACTAAAGTAATTGAACTACAATAGTTCTACAGAACTACAGTAATTACACTACAGCAATTAAACTACAGTAATTGAACTACAGTAGTGAAACTACAGTAGTGGAACTACAGTAATTGATTTAATGTAGTTGAACTACAGTAATTGAACTACAGAAATGGAACTACAGTAACTGAACTACAGTAGTGGAACTATAGTAATTGATTTACAGTAAATGAACTACAGTAATTAAACTACAGTAGTGGAACTACAGTAGTTGAACTACAGTAATTGAACTGCAGTAGTGAAACTACAGTAATTGAATTGCAGTAGTTGAACTACAGTAATTGAACTTCAGTAATTGAACTACAGTAGTGGAACTGCAGTAAGTGAACTAGTATATACACTACAGAAATTAAACTACAGTAGTGGGACTATAATAGTTGAACTACAGTAGTGAAACTATTGTAGTGAAACTAGAGTAGTGGAACTACAGTAGTTGAAACTACAGTAGTTGAAACTACAGTAGTTGAACTACAGTAATTGAACTACAGTAGCGGAACCACAGTAATTGAACTACAGTATATACACTACAGTAATTAAACTACAGTAGTGGAACTACAGTAGTTGAACTATAATAGTTGAACTGCAGTAGTGAAACTAGAGTAGTGAAACTACAGTAGTTGAAACTACAGTAGTTGAACTACAGTAATTGAACTACAG